CCCCCCCGGTAAAAAAAAAAAAGGCCCATTTTTGCCAATTGAGACATTAACATATTATAACATAAAACAAAAAAAAAAATGTGTTCTTACAGCGCCGTAGTTAGCCTTGAACTGAAAGGAGACGGCGGCCCGCCGCGTGGCGCGGCTCAGTTGCGGGTGGTGGCGCAGCGGGTTGCGGAAGATGACAGCGGCGCTCACGTCGTCTGCGTCGCTCGCCTTCACATCCACGTGAGGAAAGTCCAACTTGCCTAAGCCAAGGGAGGGGGGGGGACATTAAAAAGCCATCAAGACCCGAGGAATCCCAAGAGAGCGCTAACGTTGAATTTGGGAAGATTGGCAAGTCATATCGAGAAGCAGCCATCTCGTTACCTCTGCGTCCCGCGTCCGAGACGCAAAATTTTCCAGCCGGACGCACAGTTCCAAATAATGTGCGTTTTTGGGACGTAAGGAAATTTCTCAGTCAAAAAAAAATAAATAATCCAAATAATGTGAAATATTTTTTCCCCAACAACGATCGCAGTTTGACAATCGCCGCCATTGTTTGACAATCGCCGCCATTGTTGTTTTGATCTCGCGTGAAGTCATCTCGCGTGATGAGATATCCGTCCTCGCGAGACGAGATCGGCGAGATCGGCGGCCTTCACGTCGCGGAAAGCAGACGACTGCCAAATTATGTCACGTGAAAACGAAGTGTTGCGAAAGTTTCTTGCGGAGATATCGCAGAGGAAGCAGCTAAAGTTGGATCGTTTTTTTTTTTTTTGCAATCATAATCTTGTATGCCTGAATTATGAACATTTTGCAGCATTTTGTTGAGAAGAAATAAACCTATTCATCAATGTACATCGTTGTTTTTTGTGGAATTTTTGGCGCCACTCACACATGACGTCGGCCATCTTGACGCTGTTGTACGTGAAGGTGACGGAGGCGTTGGCGGACGAGCGGTCGGCGCCCGCCACGGCCGCCACGCTGACCGAGTGCACGTCCATGACGCTCTCCAGCGACTCCCACACCCAGGCGCTCAGGTTCCCGTAGTCGCGCCGCCAGGTCCAGTCCCGCAGGTGGCGGCGGCGCCCCCCCGAGTCGCCCACGTAGACCAGGAAGCGCACGTCGGCGTCCTCTTCGTACTGCCAGCTCGCCGTGGCCGCGCCGTCGTCGCACGTCACCGTCACGTTGGTGGGCGGCGCCAAAGGCGGGGCTGAAAAACCAGCAAAGACGCGAGCCAGTTAAGCAACGGCTATCCTCGGGGTTTCGGTGACCGCACGGCGGTGGCATAGCACCACTTTTGTCTCAACGAAGCGCCTCAATTCACCGGAGTGCCTTGGCCCCCGCGACAGCGGCAAAGCACTACGTGAGTGTCTAAACTCATTCAGTAGCAGCCAACTCTAGACCAGGTCTGAAAAGACGTTTAAAAACGTCTTTGGGAGTTAATGAGTTCATTAAACTTGACTCGCTTTAATGGTTCAAAAGCGCCACTTTGGACGACACGAAATTTTCCGGTTCGCTTCCGCAAAGATGCCATCAAAGCACTACCTTTGTCCCCGGGGAAGCTCCTCAATTCACTTTCTCGTTTTGGAGAATGATCTCGTGTCGGCCGTGCGTTCGTGAGAGAGCGGACACGTTCTCTCGCACTTTGAGCACTTTGCACTTTGAGCACAATAAAAGTTGAATTCAGTCTACCCTCGTGTGCTCGTGCCGGTTCGCGAGAAAACAAAACGGAAGTTCCGACGTCACCTCTGAGTTGCGAATCAACTCGCGGCACAAAACGTTGGGTCTCGCGTGCGTCAAGAATATGCGACGTGGTCGATTTTCAACAGGAAATCGCTTGTCCTCATTTCATTTTCATACTCGGGTTTGATGACAAATTGACCGATAACATCCACAGCCTTGATTTCACACAACTAGTGAAATGAGTACAACGATAGACACGCGAGTTGAATAGGTTGTCAAATTGGTCAGTTCACTCATAAGATTTACAACATATTCCGGGTGAACGGTTATTTTGCTCACGGATATCAGTATCAAGTGTGCTGTGCAACAACATGCAATCAAATTAATTGAGGATCACTCACGGGGTTCCCCAAGGGTCCACGTGAGGCCCAGCTCTATTCATATGGTCCACAAACGAGATCTGCCGCATCTCACATTCTAGATCAATGAATCAATAAATACACTGTATATGTGTGTGTGTGTATGTGTGTGTGTGTCTACAAAAAAAAATAAAATAAAAAATCACAACACGAACAAATAATGTGTGTGTGTGTGTGTGTGTGTCTACAAAAAAAATAAAATAAAAAAATCACAACACGAACAAATACTCGATAGGAGGCGTCCATTTGTGAACTAATTTCGGATCTTACCTGGGAAGGTGTGACTCACTCGCTGTGTTCAAAAGGAACTTTCGAAAGCAAAGTATTCATCAAACATAAATCAGGTTGAGTCGCTCAAACTTTAAGGACGTAGTCTGATGAAAATGGGATGTATGAATATGTTTAACTCGATATGTTGAGTGACTTTTTCTGTGGTTGGGATATGCTACAACAGTAATTTATTATTGTTTCAATAAAAACACGCTTTAAAACATACTGTACAAAGATCAAGTGTCACACTTCCTCCTGCGGCTTCTTTCAACATGCCCACTGCGCTTAACCGTGACGATGATTTATGTGATGTGTTTTAAAAAGTCAATATTCTAAATTAGAAACCATCTCAACGGTTGTTTAACTTTTTAAAAATATGTTTAAAAACGAATATCTCGAATTGAGGGAAGATGAACGCAACCAATTCATATTTTGCCCACTCCTCTTTCGTCGCGTTCTGACGGACGTCGCGCACTCCGCCGCGCGCGCGCGCCGCGAGATCTATCAATAAAACTTCGCCAAACAGAACCTTTGCGGTGAGGAACTGGTCCGTTCAGGAAGCGGGTTGAAAAAGAAAAGAACCCTTCGCTAAAAAAAAAAAAAAAAAAGATAAAAGGAAAAAGAAGGACCGACCGGCAGGCTGCGCCGACGCCGCGGATTCCAACAGCATCAGGAGGGCCGTGAACGCAACTCCAGCGGGCATTGCAGCGGCGCGGTCGCTCAATCCAAAATCGCAGCGCCCGCCCGTGCCCTCATGACAAAACAAAACCGGCGAGTCGTCCCAAGTTTGACCTCAAACGGCGAAGAGGCAGCAAGCCGCACTGTTCTCTTTTATTTTATTTTTTTGGCTTCCAGTCGGACGATCTGGCGATCGCGCCCGTTCGCTACCTCACTCTACCTGCTTGTCGGAATTCAATCGGCTTTACCTGCCCGCTGCCGGAAGTACCTGTCTGACGTCACATTCACTGTCAAATTAAAACCCGGCTCGTGTGAAAAATGCGGTACAGTACATTAAAATTGCATGTTTTGTTCATTTGACATAAAAATAGGCGCATGTACGGGTTCCAAACAAGCCATTTAAAGAATAAGTCACGACACTTGACATATGACCAACAATGAACAACAACACATTCAACATTTTTTAATGGTTTCAAGTTGGAACAAAGAAATTTACAAGAATCGTACTGACATTCGTGCTCTTGTTTTACACATATTTAATAAGCACCTTCATCTAAATCAGGGGTGTCAAACTCATTTCACATTGTGGGCCGCATAGGGCCGGGGTATATGTCAAGTGGGCCGGACCATTAAAAATTATACCAGACTCTGCTATAAATAACCAAAATAATATGTCTTTCCTTTGTTTTGGTCCAAAGATGCACAAGAACACGAGGAAAATGTTGACATTTAATGAACATATCTTTTACAAAACATTTCATGAAGCACCTAAGATTTCCTGAGACAAATGTGCAATTTACTTTATCATTCACATATATGCATTGCAACTGATCCCACTGACTGTACAAAGGCACAAAACCTTAACAAGTAATTCGTCTTGAAAAATATAGGAATGCACTTTTAAAATTAAACGAGATTTATAAAGAAAGGAATTTGTAAACCATTTACACGAGCATATAAAATCTAAATGTAATCCCTGCCTACACCTTACAAACTAAGGAGAGTGCTATAATATGTGAAAAGAATAAAGTATTCACATGTCCTTGATAACGTCTGCTGTGTTGGGTCTATGAGGCTGCTGTTGTCTTCTTCTCTGATGAAAACAATGTTGTCTTTTCCTCTGCTCAAAACAGTGTGTTTCCCTAGCGGATATTTCATGAATTGCACCTTATTAAAATATTCGTTCCGTGTCTTGTGTGCATTTTTTCACTTTTAAATTATCCTGCGGGCCTGATCAAACCTCCTTGCGGGCAGGTTCCGGTCGTATGTTATACACCGCTGATGTATAGTAAGACGTTTTTACCCGAAAAAAACGACCATGTATAGTTTGCCGTTTTTAGCCGAAAAAAACGACCATGTACAGGAAGGTGTTTTTAGATGAAAAAAAAACGAACATGTATAGGAAGGCGTTTTCAGCCGAAAAAAACGAACATGTATATGAAAGCGTTTTTATCGGGGAAAAAAAAAAACAACCCTGTATAGATAAGATAAGATAAGATATCCTTTATTTGTCCCACACTGGGGAAATTTACAATATATAGTAAGGCGTTTTTAGCCGAAAAAAACGACCATTTACAGTAAGGCGTTTTAACCTGAAAAAAAAACAACCATGTATTGTAAGGCGTTTTTAGCCGAAAAAAAACGACCATGTAAAGTAAGGCGTTTTTATTGGAAAAAAAATGACCATGTATTGCAAGCCGTTTTTAGCCGAAAAAAAACAACCATGTATTGTAAGCCGTTTTTAGCCGAAAAAAAACGACCATGTATAGTAAGGCGTTTTTATCGGAAAAAAAACGACCATGTATAGTATGGCGTTTTTATAGGACAAAAAACGACCATGTATAGGAAGGCGTTTTTAGCCGAAAAAAAAACGACCATGTATAGTCAGGCGTTTTAACCTGAAAAAAACAACCATGGATTGTAAGCATGTATAGTAAGGCGTTTTTATCAGAAAAAAAAACGACCATGTATAGTCAGGTGTTTTAACCCGAAAAAAAATACCATGTATAGTAAGGCGTTTTTAGCCGAAAAAAAATACCATGTATAGTAAGGCGTTTTTAGATGAAAAAAAATGACCATGTATAGTAAGGCGTTTTTAGCCGAAAAAAACGACCATGTATTGTATGGCGTTTGAACCCGAAAAAAACGATCATGTATAGTAAGGCGTTTTTATCGGAAAAAAAAAAAACTACCATGTATAGTAAGGCGTTTTTATCGGAAAAAAACGACCATGTATAGTAAGCCGTTTTAACCCGAAAAATACAACCATGTATAGTAAGGCATTTTTTAGCCGAAAAAAACGACCATGTGTAGTAAGGCGTTTTTAGCCGAAAAAAACAACCATGTGTAGTAAGGCATTTTAGATGAAAAAAACAACCATGTTTATTAAGGTGTTTTTATCGGTTTTTAACCGAAAAAAACGACCATGTATAGTAAGGCGTTTTTAACCGAAAAAAACGACCGTGTATAGTAAGGCGTTTTAACCCGATAAAAACGACCATGTATAGTAAGGCGTTTTTAGCCGAAAAAAAACGACCATGTATAGTAAGGCGTTTTTAACCGAAAAAAACGACCATGTGTAGTAAGGTATTTTAGATGAAAAAAACAACCATGTATATTAGGGCGTTTTTATCGGAAAAAACGACCATGTATAGTAAGGCGTTTTTAGCCGAAAAAAAACGACCATGTATAGTAAGGCGTTTTTAACCGAAAAAAACGACCATGTGTAGTAAGGTATTTTAGATGAAAAAAACAACCATGTATATTAGGGCGTTTTTATCGGAAAAAAACGACCATGTTCAGTAAGGCGTTTTAACCCGATAAAAACGACCACGTATAGTAAGGCGTTTTTCGCCGAAAAAAACAACCATGTGTAGTAAGACATTTTAGATGAAAAAAAACAACCATGTACATTAGGGCGTTTTTATCGGAAAAAAAACAGAATGGGAATTCTATGATTCTATGACTACAGAACCATTCTTTCAAGAGCGGAAAGTAATTATATGATTGAAGAAATAATCGTCATGATGCGATTGGGTGAAGGTAAAGGTTGGCCAAAAAAGCTTTAATTGTGAAGGTCCAGTCCCAGGTTGAGGGAAGTTGTTGCGGTTTTGGACTCTACCGACAGATTAGTTTGATCATTGCACTTTTCAAGTTTGCTATTTCAAGAAATCCCACCTCAAGGACTCGACTCGCCCTAACCGGGATGGACGGAACGACCGATCGACAGATGGACGAATCAACGGACAGATACATAGATAGATAGACAGACAGACAGACAGATAGATAGATAGATAGATAGATAGATAGATAGATAGATAGATAGATAGATTTTGGAATTTGGAAGTGGGGTCGAACAATAAGGTTCGGATTTCAAAGTAGGCTTTAAACTAGGATACGTATCATGGTTCTCGAATAAAGGTGCTCTAATCAAGGTTAATGTATTTTATTTTGGAACCACATATCGTATGGAAAGTTACACTTCCTGTCTCGTAATGCTTTGAAGGTCCAAACCGGAAATTGTTGGCTCCACTCACGCTAGCTTGACCTCCCCCCCGTGCCTCCCGCGGGTCTGAACTGAACCGAACTGATGCCGCTGCTCGTTTAGCGGAATTCACGCGACCGAGTCCTTAACTCCTTCCGGGAAGAAAGTTCCGTGTGAGTGCAACTCAATTTGCTCCCGTTGTTGTCGCGATTGAAACGCCCGCCTGCCCGCCTCCTCCTCGCGGTGTTCCCAAAGCAGCTGAACGACAATCGTTGCCCGCCTTCGTTTGAGCGTCTGAAAATCGTCCAAGACTTTCAACACGGCTTAATTTCCCCCCCCCCGAAAAAAACAAACAAACAAAAAAAAAAAAGAGCACCATCGCTCGTCCAGCTAGCTTGATGAATCAATAATGGATGTTATTTCCAGCGGAGCTGACAGGTTGGGGATCACGTGACAGCGCGTGCGGAGCCGATCCACTAAGCCGAGTTCAGCCAATCGGGGGGGGCGTGGCCTTGGATACAACCTGGCAGCTGACGTCACCCACGACCGCTCGCCATGAACCGCTTTTTTTTTTTGTTGTTTTTTTTTTGTGGACTCTTGACGACAGGTTGACAGCCCGGACGACTAACTGAATCATCATATTTTTTTTTTTTTTTTTTTACATTTCTGTACTGTCAAATTTGAAAATAATGTTTTCGAATAAAGGGATCGACATTGTTGATTTCAAAGGCGGATTGGACAGAGATGAATTGACGATGAGAGGGTCTCCCTCGTTTGCTTCGTTGCAGCTGCTCCGCACCCGTCGCCATGGTGACCAAGAAAGTCCGGACGGAGTACATGAAGAAGTTCCGGGAGCCCAAGTGGGAGACCTTCTCCAAATGCTACGAGGACTCTCTCAAGTATCGCCTGACCCGGCGGGTCATGGAGCACTCTCACAAGCCCTGGTTCTGGGAGGGCTGGGGGGGCGGCTCCGTGCGGTCCAGCGGCAAGTCCACGCCCGGGACTGCCGCTGGACCGCGGCTTGGACGCAACCGGGTGGCCCCGCCGGTATGGGGTATAGTGCACTTGAAGCTAACTACACCGTTTGTCTGTGAAAAGACGGTGAAACCTTCAGCTGGAAGAGGCGCGCACGAGTGCACGTTTACAAACGCTAAATTGCCGGCGTATTTTGTTGTCTGCTTTTTGTTTGGTTGGGTTTTTTTTTTCCCCCCATCCGCCAGGTGAGATAACGATGGAGAGGCGCGCTTGCAAGGGGCGGGAACATTTGCCGTCAAGTTGAGCTGGGAAAAAAAAAAAATTCATCATGTGATCATCCACCTCTTTGGATTTTGCGTCAGAAAACGCCACCGGGGGGGGGGCGGCCCCCCCGAACGCAAGCGTGGCGTCCCACGAGCCGGACGCCGACGACGGGCCGGACGCCGACGGGGATCCCGTTGAGTCGGCGGCCTCTCCTCTGCGCCACCGGGACGGTCGCCCTGGCAACGGGTCACCCACCGACCGCAAACCGCCGCCGGGGGGCGCCGGCGACGAAGCCGCGGCGCCCAACGATCAAGTAAGTTTTTGACACCCGCTCCGTTCCGGTCGGGCCCCAGCGATGTGGAATTTTTTTTTTGTGGGGGGCGCGCAGGGGGGTGTATTGACTGCATTTCAATAGCTCGTGTGTTATCTTGTGCGCTTATGACAATAAAAATATTAATTCCAGAGGGGGGGGGTCAGGGGGGGACAATGAATTGGAAGGGCTTCGTGTTTCAAACAGTCAAACAAACTTTAAAAAAAAAAAAAAAAAGCCAAAAAATCATTCGACCCCCCGG